ATTGAATAGTAGTTAGTTGTCTCCAAAGCGTCTGTGTGTCAGGCTCGCAGCGTATACTGTGCCCACTTGCCCAGTGCCACCACTCACTCACTGGTGTCACAATAGCTTGCATTTAAAAAAAAAAGTTTTCACTGTAATAGATTGAATAGCAGTTAGTTGTCTGCAAGCGTCTGTGTGTCAGGCTCGCAGCGTATACTGTGCCCACTTGCCCAGTGCCACCACTCACTCACTGGTGTCACAATAGCGTGCATTTAAAAACCAAAAAACTTTTTTCACTGTTATAAATTGAATAGCAGTTAGTTGTCTCAAAGCGGGTGTGTCAGGCTCACAGTGGATACTGTGCCCAGTGCCACCACTCACTCACTGGTGTCACAATAGCTTGCATTTAAAAACCAAAAAACTTTTTTCACTGTTATAGATTGAATAGCAGTTAGTTGTCTCAAAGCGGGTGTGTCAGCCCTACAGCGTGTACTCTGCCAGTTGCCAGTGCCACTCACTATCTGGTGTCACAATAGCTTGCATTTAAAAACAAAAAACTTTTTTCACTGTTATAGATTGAATAGCAGTTGGTTGTCTTCAAGCGGGTGTGTCAGCCCTACAGCGTGTACTCTGCCAACCTCTGCCAGTTCACAGTGCCACTCATATCTGGTGTCACAGTAGCTTGCACGCATAGTACCACTTATCGGAATAAAAAGGACAGGCAGAGGCAGGCCACCCCTACACTGTGCATTGGGTAAACCTGCTGACAGCTGCCAAGCATGGAATGCGTGGCTCTGCAGAGGAGTTGGTGACACCGCCACGACTTGCAGGCAGGCCTGCTGCCACCTCCTCTACTCCTCCTACTCCATCCTCTTCCATAACCTCCTCGGCTGAGTCCTCTTCTGCTGCTGCGTCTTGCTCCACATCAACGGATAGGGGACGTAACAGGGATTAAACTGATAAGAATAGTACTACTTAACACACCACTCCTATCTGGTGGCACATTAGATTGCACACGCAGTGCCCCAAATTTGAAGTAGGAGGACCGACCAAGCATCTTTTTCCATCTCCCTGTTCCTAAAATCAATGCCATATACACGTCCCCTGATAGGGGACGTAACAGGGATTAAACTGATAAGAATAATACTACTTAACACACCTTATAATAACGCAGAGAGAGGCAACGCAGAGAGAGGAGTCTGAAGAAGAGGAGCCAGAGGAGGAAGGTGGCTTTGAGGAGGTGGAAGACCAAACACAGCAGGCGTCCCAGGGGGCTTGTTGTCACCTTTCGGGGACCCTTGGTATTGTACGTGGCTTGGTGGAGGAAGAGACCTTCAATGACATCAGTGAGGACAAGGAACGGGACATGGCTAGCTTGGTATCCAACCTTGTGTAAATGGGGAGTTTGCGGTTGTGCAAATGGACTGTTTGCGGTTGTTTCCGGTGCGTTAAACGGGGAGTTTGGTCTGTCACTGTGAAGTGGGCGTAACCCTTACACTACCTGATCGATACAACATCACACAGTAGGTCCCCCCCCTCATTATTTTTATGGCCCCCACCCACCGCTCACGGGTGGGGGCGGGCGGGAGGACAGTAGGTCCCCCCATTGAGATTTATGGCCCCCACCCACCGTGCAGGGGTGGGGGCCGGGGGGAGGACAGTAGGTCCCCCCTTATCCTTATTTACTGAATATTCCCCTGTATAACAATGTTGCATTTAGTGAATATTCCCTATTCTGCTCTGTGTCAGTGTGTATCAGGGATCCTTAGGATAGGTGTCAATCCATATCTGCCAAGTGACCCTATGTAGGGGGAACAGTCCCTATTCTGCTCTGTGTCAGTGTGTATCAGGGATCCTGAGGATAGGTGTCAATCCATACCTGCCAAGTGACCCTATGTAGGGGGAACAGTCCCTATTCTGCTCTGTGTCAGTGTGTATCATGGATCTCTGAGGACAGGTGTCAATCCATATCTGCCAAGTGACCCTTTGTAGGGGAACAGTCTCTATTCTGCTCTGTGTCAGTGTGTATCATGGTCTCTGAGGACAGGTGTCAATCCATATCTGCCAAGTGACCCTATGTAGGGGGAACAGTCCCTATTCTGCTCTGTGTCAGTGTGTATCAGGGTCTCTGAGGACAGGTGTGAATCCATATGTTAAGGTGTCAATATGTCATATGTCAGGTGTCAATCCATATCCATTGTGATTTAGGAATGTTAGGTGATTTATGCCCTTTATGGATTAAGACCAGACTCTGCATCAACTGTGTAATTTTCCATGGGAGTTTTGCCATGGATCCCCCTCCCGCATGCCACAGTCCAGGTGTTAGTCCCCTTGAAACAACTTTTCCATCACTATTGTGGCCAGAAAGAGTCCCTGTGTGTTTTAAAATTCGCCTGCCCATTGAAGTCTATGGCGGTTCGCCCGGTTCGCTGGTTCGCGAACATTTGCGGAAGTTCGCGTTCGCCGTTCGCGAACCGAAAATTTTGTGTTCGCGACATCACTACTGATACTGTGATAGATTATTGTATTGTACCATAGGGAATAATGTTACTGTGATAGATTACTGTATTGTACCATAGGGAATAATGTTACTTTGATAAATCACTGTATTGAGCGATGGGGAATACTGTTACTGTGATTGCTGTATTGTACCATATGGAATTCTGTTACTGTGATATTTTACTGTATTGTACCATAGGGAATACTGTTACTGTGATTGCTGTATTGTACCATGGGGAACACTGTTATTCTGATAGATTACTGTATTGTACCATAGAATACTGTTACTGTGATAGAATCTGTATTGTACCATATAGAATACTGTTACTGTGATTACTGTATTGTACCATAAAGAATACTGTTACTGTGATATATCACTGTATTGTACAATGGGGAACACTGTTATTGTGATAGATTACTGTATTGTACCATACGGAATACTGTTACTGTGATAGATTACTGTACTGTACAATGGGGAATATTGTTACTGTAATAGATTACTGCATTGTATCATAGAGAAAACTGTTACTGTCATAGATTACTGCATTCTGCCATAGAAAATACTGTTACAGTAATTATTAATTGCATTGTATTGTAGGGAATACTCTGTCTCTATGGAAAATCTAAAAAGAAATGGAAAGACAATAAGATAACTATATTGATACGATTTTAGGTGATCTGCTCACTGGTAGGGATCCAAGGAAATAGAACATTGTTGTAATCAGCTAATGGATATGACTGGTGGTAGCCATTCAGGCAGTGTTTGTGCGAGGAATGTGGTTTGCACCTGGGTTTTAATAGTTTCTAGTCCTTTAAGCTGACCATTTTAAGGATTACCTTGTGTGATCTGCTGGCTTGATGCCATAGATTTCTCAGTGGAAGAATATGGTAATTTTATAAATTTAATTAAAATAATAGTACTAAAAATTGGTAAAGATTTGTAAAATTGGAGCAATCACCATTGGAATGTTCCCGCTGATTCCAATGGTTTCCGTGGTGATTGCCCCACTTGCACAAATTTGCACCACTTTTGTCATCTGTTTTTATGAAAACAGATTTTTCCACTAAACTGGATATTATGGAGAACCGACAAAGGAATGTAATGTTTGAGGCTAAGACAGCCAAGCTGGCAAAACTTGAAATTTAGAATTTTTTTCAATTCTGATACTTTCGTCCAAAAATGTAAAATTCTCTAGTCAATTATTTACAAATCACAGATTACTGAATAATCTAGAATGTTGTTTACTACAAACTTAGATGTCATAAATAGTAGATTGAGTTTTCCAGAAAACAGAATATTTCCTAATAATTGTAGCTATTAATGTGACATTTAATTTTTTTTAATAGTGCTAATTTAATTCAACATATGTACATTAAGTGTGATAGCAATGAACCATCAGTTTGAACCCAATGACAAATAATAGAAATGCACAGAGATTGCTTTGTTTAAAGAGAAGCATATAATATTTTACACTAAAAGCAATGACAGTCAGTTGTAAATGGTCAGTTGTGTCAATAAAAGTGCTGCTTGGGATTAGAAAGTAATCATATTTTATATTTCTTTTTCTATTGAATCAAAGTGCACATTTTCCCATACAGTGATTTTAAATATTGCATTCCTCTTAAAAGAAGATTTATTATTGTGTACATAACTGCTGAATGCATCAGCAAACATTTGCTTCATTTATTAATGAACCAATAATTTAATTCTTTCTCAAGTGTTGAATAACTAACTCTCCCTGGGCACTTTGTAGGACTGTGTGTAGACAAATTATCAGACACAAGACTTGGAGAGGGGGGGCTCACATTTTGACGAGACATGACTCAGCTCTGGGTAGTGTGATCCGTAGAACAAAGATACAGCCATTGGGATTAAGTTATTGTGTTGCTCCCAGAAGTAATAGCAAGTAAATTAGAATTACACAGGGTTATAGAGGGTTAAAGCAATAAAACCATAATTACTGTAATTAAATATACTAACAGAGTATAACAGGTTAACACAATAACAATGAGAAAAACAAGATAACAGACTCGGAGCAACAATGCAATGCAGATGTACACCGTAATAGAATAGGAAATTACAATGTAAACCAGAGTAACACATAATAATACCATATAATGCAGAGTACCACAGTGTAATACCATATAATACAGAGTAACACATAGGAATACAATATAATACAGAGTAACACAGTGCAATACCATAAAATAGAGAGTAACACAAAATAATACAATATAATACAGAGTAACACAGAGTAATATCATATAATACAGAGTAACACAAAATAATACCATATAATACAGAGTAACACAGAGTAATACCATATAAATAAAGCAACACAGAGTAATACCATATAATACAGAGTAACACACAGTAATACCATATAATACAGAGGAATACAGTGTAAAACCATGTAGCACAAAGCAACACAGAATAGCAATATAATACATATAGTATAGGGCAGGGGTTCCCAGTAAATTTTTCCCGTGGAACCCTTTGACATAGTGTATCAACATCTGTGTGTGTGTATTTTTGTGTCAGTGTGTATCTGTGTGTGTGTGTATTTGTAAGTCAAGATGTGTGTATGTGCCACTGTGTGCATCTGAGTGTGTATCTGAGTGTGTGTATCTGTGTGTCAAGGTGTGCGTGTGTGTGTCAGATACATATACACACACACAGATACACACTGACACAAAAATACACACAATGGAACACACACACAGATGCTGATACACTATGTCAAAGGGTCCCACGGGAAAAATTAACTGGGAACCCCTGCCCTATACTATATGTATTATATTGCTATTCTGTGTTGCTTTGTGCTACATGGTTTTACACTGTATTCCTCTGTATTATATGGTATTACTGTGTGTTACTCTGTACTATATGCTATTACGCTGTATTATATGGTATTACTCTGTGATACTCTGTATTAAATGGCATTACACTACATTGCTCTGTATTATATGGTATCACTATGTGTTACTCTGTATTATATGGTATTACTCTGTGTTGCTTTATTTATATGGTATTATTCTGTGTTACTCTGTATTAAATGGTATTATTCTGTGTTACTCTGTATTAAATGGTATTATTCTGTGTTACTCTGTATTATATGATATTACTCTGTGTTACTCTGTATTATATTGTATTATTCTTAGTGATGTTGCGAACATGAAATTTTCGGTTCGCGAAACGCGAACGCGAACTTCCGCAAATGTTCGCGAACCGGGCGAACCGCCATAGACTTCAATGGGCAGGCGAATTTTAAAACACACAGGGATTCTATCTGGTTGAAGGGGGGGCGGCCCTCACCCCTGGGCGGCGGGTGGGGGCCATAAAGATAATGAGAGGGGGACCTTCTGTCCCCCCCGGCCCCCACCCCTGAGTGGTGGTTGGGGGCCCTAATAACAATAAGGGGGGGACCTATTGTCCCCCCCGGCCCCACCCCTGAGCGGCGGGTGGGGGCTCTAATACTAATAAGGGGGGGACCTATTGTCCCCCCCGGCCACCACCCCATAGCGGTGGGTGGGGGCCCTAAAATGAACAATAAGGGGGGGACCTATTGTCCCCCCCGGCCCGCACCCCTGAGCGGTGGGTGTGGGCCCTAATAATAATAAGGGGGGACCTATTGTCCCCCCCCGGCCCCCACCCCTGAGTGGTGGGTGGGGGCCCTAAAATGAACAATAAGGGGGGACCGATTGTCCCCCCCCGGCACCCACCCCTGAGCGGTGGGTGGGGGCCCTAATAACAATAAGGGGGGGACCTATTGTCTACCCCCCGTCCCCCACCCCTGAGCGGTGGGTGGGGGCCATATTGATAATGAGGGGGGGACCTACTGCCTCCCCGGCCCCCACCCCTGCGCAGCGGGTGGGGGCCATATTGATAATGAGGGGGGGACCTACTGCCCCCCCCCAGCCCCCACCCCTGTGCGGTGGGTGGGGGCCATATTGATAATGAGGGGGGGACCTACTGCCCCCCCCGGCCCCCACCCCTGCGCAGCGGGTGGGGGCCATATTGATAATGAGGGGGGGGACCTACTGTCAAAAAATAGTGAGGGGGGAACAAAATAACTAACCTGTAAAATAAAAGTAAACTTACCATTAGACGTCTTCTTTTTTCTCAAATCTTCATTTTTCAGCACCAAAAAGGCCAAACAAAAAACCATCATAACCGTCGAACTAAAAAAAAAAAAAAAATCCCGAGCGCCAAAAAAAAAAACCTGACGAAAAAGAAAAAACCAGAGTGCACAAAAATAATCCTTCTTCACCCATGGATGGCTCCGCGCAGACTGAGCTCTGCAGGGCGGGGGAAGGATTATAAAGCCTTGCCACGCCCTGCAATTAGGCTAAGAACACTCTGATTGGTGAGTTTAAGCCAATCAGAGTGCTCTTTGTCATTTTACACAACGTGGGAAAATTGGCCGGAGGGGGGGTGGACAGTAGGTCCCCCCCCTCATTATCAATATGGCCCCCACCCGCCACGCAGGGGTGGGGGCCAGGGGGGCAGTAGGTCCCCCCCTCATTATCAATATGGCCCCAACCCGCCGCGCAGGGGTGGGGACTGGGGGGGCAGTAGGTCCCCTCCTCATCATCAATATTGCCCCCACCCGCCGCGCAGAGGTAGGGCCGGGGAGGACAATAGGTCCCCCCTTATTGTTCATTTTAGGGCCCCCACCCACTGCTCAGGGGTGGGGGCCAGGGGGGGACAATAGGTCCCCCCTTATTGTTCATTTTAGGGCCCCCACCCACCGCTCAGGGTTTGGGGCCGGGAGGAGGACAATAGGTCCCCCCGTATTGTTCATTTTAGGGCCCCCACCCACCGCTCAGGGGTGGGGCCGGGGGGGACAATAGGTCCCCCCTTATTGTTCATTTTAGGGCCCCCACCCACCGCTCAGGGATGGGGGCCGGGGGGGGACAATAGGTCCCCCCTTATTGTTATTTTTAGGGCCCCCACCCACCGCTCATGGGTGGGGGCCGGGGGGGACAATAGGTCCCCCCCATTAGTATTTAGGGCCCCCACCGGGGGGGGGAACCTTTTTTTTTTTTTTAAATCACAGTGCTCTGTGTCATTTTACACAGCGTGGGAAAATTGGCCGGAGGGGGGGTGGACAGTAGGTCCCCCCCCTCATTATCAATATGGCCCCCACCCGCCACGCAGGGGTGGGGGCCGGGGGGGCAGTAGGTCCCCCCCTCATTATCAATATGGCCCCCACCCGCCGCGCAGGGGTGGGGGCCGGGGGGGCAGTAGGTCCCCCCTCATTATCAATATGGCCCCCACCCGCCACGTAGGGGTGGGGACTGGGGGGGGCAGTAGGTCCCCCCCTCATTATCAATATGGCCCCCACCCGCCGCGCAGGGGTGGGGGCTGGGGGAGGCAGTAGGTCCCCCCCTCATTATCAATATTGCCCCCACCCGCCGCGCAGGGGTGGGGGTGGGGGGGGACAATAGGTCCCCCCTTATTGTTCATTTTAGGGCCCCCACCCACCGCTCAGGGGTGGGGGCCGGGGGGGACAATAGGTTCCCCCCTTATTGTTCATTTTAGGGCCCCCACCCACCGCTCAGGGGTGGGGGCCGGGGGGGACAATAGGTTCCCCCCTTATTGTTCATTTTAGGGCCCCCACCCACCACTCAGGGGTGGGGGCCAGGAGGGGGACAATAGGTCCCCCCTTATTGTTCATTTTAGGGCCCCCACCCACCGCTCAGGGGTGGGGGCCGGGGGGAGGACAATAGGTCCCCCCCATTAGTATTTAGGGCCCCCACCGGGGGGGGAACCTTTTTTTTTTAAACAGTGAGCAGCCACAGGATGCTCACTGTTTAATAGACATGCCCCTACTCGCAGTATTGCGAGTAGGGGCACAATTTACTAATATTAAGTAATTTTTACTTAGTATTAGTAAATTAATAGGGGACGGACCGAACATCGCATATGTTCGCCGTCCGTGGCGAACACGCTATGTTCGCCAGGAACTATTCGCCAGCGAACCGTTCGGGACATCACTAATTATTCTGTGTTACTCTCTATTTTGTAGTATTGAACTGTGTTACTCTGTATTATATGGTATTCCTATGTGTTACTCTGTATTATATGGTATTACACTGTGTTACTCTGCATTATATGGTATTATTCTGTGTTACTCTGGTTTACATTGTAATTTCCTATTTTATTACTGTGTACATCTGCATTGCATTGTTGCTTTTTATGTATCTGACACACACACGCACACCTTGACACACAGATACACACACTCAGATACACACTCAGATGCACACAGTGGCACATACACACATCTTGACTTACAAATACACACACACTCAGATACACACAGTGACATATACACACACTTGCACCCACAGATACACACACTGGCACATACACACTCAGATACACAACCTGAGATACACACATACATGGGCATATGCAAACACACTGATATACACTGGCACATACACACATACTGACATACACACACACACACTCAGATACACACAGTGACACATGCACAAACCTTGATACACAGATACACACACTGACACACTCAGGCACACATACTCTTTGACAGACACACATATACACTGTCACTGACAAGCACACATGCATTCTCATTGACAAACACACATTCTCTTTCACAGCTGGGCTGAGCATGCAGTCCCTGGGGTCCAGTGGGGCTGCTGAGTGGCTGGCGTGCGTGCACCTCTTAGTGATGCCGGAATCGGAGTGACGTCATATTCCGGCTTCGGCATCACTGCTGTGCGTGCAAGGGAGCTAAGCAGGGAGATCACTGCCCACTGCTCCCTTGTCGGCCGCTGCCATTTTGTTTTCAGAACTTTTGGTAGAATCCCATGTGTGTTCTCGTGGAGCCCCAGGGTTCTGCAACAGCACAACTTAGGAAACGCTGGTATAGAGTAACACAGAGTAATGCCGTATAGAGCAGAGTAACACAGTGTATTGCCATATAGTACAGCAAGCATGTCAAACTCGCGAGTACATGCTCAGTGTTATAGCAGAGTAGGCACCTGCTTTCCCCACATTGCAGGTGCCTACTCTGCTAAAACTTACCGGCCAGGGAGGATGGCCAACAAGGGAGCTCAGTGTTCTCTCGTGTGCACCGTCTGTAGTGAAGCCGGGCGCCGGAATATGATGTCATATTCCGGCACCAGCATCATTAAACCGCTCGAGGGAGCAGTGAGGAGCAGATAGAAGATCCTCACTGGACCCCTGGGAGAGGACCAACATTGGCCCCAAAAGGTAGGGAGCAATAAAGAAAATAATGTGTGTGCAAGAATGTGTAAATGTGTGTGTGTGTCTGTGAGTATGTGTGTCTGTCAGTGAGTGTGTGTGTGTATGTGTGTTTGTGTCTGTCAGTGAGTTTGTCTGTCAGTGAGTTTGTCTGTCAGTGAGTGTGTGTCTGTCAGTGAGTGTCTGTTTGTGTCTGTCAGTGAGTGTGTGTCTGTCAGTGTCTGTGTGGGTGTCAGTGAGTGAATGTGTCTGTGTGTCTGTCAGTGAGTGTGTCTGTCTGTGCCTGTCAGTGAGTGTGTCTGTCTGAGTGTGTAAGTTAGTGTGTATGTCTGTGTGTCTGTCAGTAAATGTGTGTGTCTGTTTGGCTGTCTGTTTGTGTCTGTATTTGAGTGTGTGTGTGTGTGTGTGTGTCTGTCAGTGTGTGTGTGTCTGTCAGTGAGTGAGCGTGACTGAGTGTGTGTCTGTCT